TTATTATTATTATTATTATTATTATTATTATTATAAGCACTGATCAGTTTTGATGAAATTATGGGAAAGCTGTGGAAAAGATAAATTCTCTTTGTCTAGAAAATTGAGCTAATGATGATGACATGGAGTAAGCAAAAATAATTCACAATAATATTTCATTAAGTTTTGATTCTATTAAAAAAATTATGGTCAAAGAAATAAAGTAACTTTTAAAAATTAGAGTTGGAAGATGTTGTTCATTTTAAATATAAAGTCATGATGAATGTGATGTTCTTCTTTCAGCTTGAAGTAGAAACCAGCAATGCCGAGGCACAAAAACAGCTCCAGTTGTTGGAGCCTCAGAGAGAAAACATCAGACTAGCCAAGGAATACTATGAACAACATGACTTCCAGGCAGCTATTGACGCTGTGTCACTGGCAATAGATGTAAGAGAAACTGTGTGTGTGTGTGTGTGTGTGTGTGTGTGTGTGTGTGTGTGTGTGAAAATGGTCTGGAGCTTTGCATCAGTGTGAAATTTTCAGTTATATTGCATAGTAAATGTGTGTTCGTGTGTGAGAGAGAGAGGGAGAGAGAAAGTGCAAATGTGAATGAAATTTCCTTCAGCGCAAATTTCTCATTCTCAAAAAAATAATCAGTCTGAAAATAATTCAGTGTGTTTGTGTGCATGATATTCTTTGCATTGAAAATGGAATTTAGAAAAAAGATACTAAATATATATATATAAAATGTTTTTCACACCCAGGTGAGTCCCTGGGATGCGGACCTCCGTGAGTTGAGAGCCGAGAGCTACATTGCCCAGGGGAACTACTTCAAAGCGTCAGGGGACCTCAGGACCACCACCAAACTGGTGTCAGATAACACGGAGGGCTATTACAAGCTGAGTAACCTGCATTATGACATGGGGGAAGCTGAGGAGGCATTGCTGTAAGTTTGTCTGGGATTTGGTAGAAAATGCTCTTTTGTAACAAACAGAGATTTTAATGATACTCGCTGACGAGTTGCGATGTTAGGCTGACATCTTTGGTGTGTACAGACTTGAAGGCAGACAAGTTGAAATGTGGTGTTTTATCAACTCAGTATGATTTTTATACTGTCTGTGACAAAATATTCAACAAATTTAAACTATTTTTCAATAAATGGAGAAATATAGGTCATGTGATTGTTGTATTTTAGGTTAAAAGAATAAATCAGATCAAATTCAGTCACTGAATCAATTCAATTTTCAGACAAATCAGAGAGTGCCTAAAGCTGGACCCAGACCACAAGCAATGTTTCCCATTTTACAAAAAAGTGAAAAAACTTACAAAACAGTTGCGAGACGTCCAGGATTATCAGAGCAATGGGGCGTATGAGGACTGTGTTAGCAAATCAAAGGCTATTCTAAAGACAGAAGACAGAGTGTTTTCCTATATACACAGGGCTAAGGGGCATGCCTGTCACTGTAATATGAAGGTAAGGAGTGTGTTAGAGGAGACAATGCTTGGTGGCATTGTGTAGGGGAGTGTGTTAGAGGAGACACAATGCTGGGTGGCGTTGAGAGGAGTCTCCCCCTTGTGGCAGCTCTGTGAGAGCACATGTTGAATAAGTAAAAGTACCAATATTATTATCATTTGTCACTGTCATAATACTGGAAAAAAATAGCAAAATAAACATGTGGAGCAACATGCCTAGGTCTGTCTACGATTTGATAATTGTGGACTTCTTTACTTTATCATTTTGTATATTTATTATTATTTTTTTAAATTTATGTATCATTTTTTTGTATATTTTAATATCAGGATATGGACAAAAAAATATATACAAAGCTAATCTTGATGTCAGTTTGTTAAACTTTGTTCTTGATGTTTTTCAGGCAAAACATATAGAAGAAGCTTTTAAGTGGTGTAAAGAGATACTAGAAATAGATGAAAATAATATTGAAGCCAGGTGTGATTTAGCAGAAAATTATATAAATAATGAACAGTATGAAGAAGGTGAGTCCATAGAAATTATCATCATTGCTTATTGCCACAGATGTATTGTTATGAGCTTTGCTATTCATATATTTTCATAATTAATGGCACATTTTGTTTTTTGGAAAAAAGGGGTTTAAGTGGTGTGCTAACATTAAAGTTTAAAATTTTCAGCTGTTCAAGAATACCAAAAAGCTACAAATATAGACAAAAACAACCAGAGAGCACAGGAGGGACAGCAGAGAGCACAGAAACTGCTGAAAAATTCACAAAAGAGAGATTATTACAAAATTTTAGGTGTAAAAAGGTAGGTTGGAAGATGGCATGATTTAGCATTGGGCTGGATCACAAGACAAAAGAGATTGTGTTTATCTTTTAGAATTTTTTTTGGAGCAAGAGAGGAGTGTATTAGATTTTTTATAAGTTTACAATTAGCAAAAATTATATAAGACTCCCATCTTTTTAAGATTACATTTTCATTTTTATTGACAGGGTGATAAGGGCTTCATTTTAATGTTAATAGGCAAATTTTATAACGGGCATGTTCATTATATAAAGTTTATTGGGGTTATTTCATAACAAAATTAATAATCACATTTTCTTATTTTTATTTTTTTTTTTTCAGAAATGCAAATAAAAGAGCTATAAACAAAGCATATAGGAAACTAGCTTTACAGTGGCACCCTGATAAATTTGATGGGGAGGAGAAGAAAAAGGCTGAAAAAAAGTTTATGGACATTGCAGCCGCCAAAGAAGTTTTATCAGACCCAGGTTTGTATAATGTTACCCCACTTTGCTACCACAAGTGAATGAAGCATTGCTTATTGCTAATCATTATATATTTAATTAAAATAAGGATACGAAGGATTGTTTTCGCATTTTAGTCTAGTTTCATGCCTTTTATTCAAATTTATATCAGGATATCCCAATGTATCATCCACTGCAGACATATTTTTGCTCTTTTTATTTTAATTTTTAAAAAAAATTTTAATACATAAACGTAGCCAACATTTGAAATGAGCACGGCATGTGGTGTCTCATGTAATGTCTGTACCACATGTCATAACTCTTCGTTTGCGTAATCTAAACATTGATAACAGCAAATGGAGGTAGTTCTTAACAAAATCACCACCATGTTCAAGACTTATATTCTTGGATTTTTTAGATTTTTCATTTGTTTTTCCTTAGAAATGAGACAGAGGTACGACAACGGAGAAGACCCTCTGGATCCAGAACAGCAACAGCAAGGTGGCCGGGGCAACCCATTCTTCCATGGGTTCAATCCATTCGGTAGTGACGGTTTCAACTTCAAATTCCACTTCAACTAGGCAGCGAAGTTAAAGAGAGCGTGAAAAAAGACGCGTTAATGCAATAATGCCACTTCTGTGTATAATCTCTGACTTGTTTCAACCAACATTATTTTTTTGCATATTGTTTTACTCCTCAAATGAATACACTGGGGCGATCACCTGGTTCGGCCATAGGTAGAAGCTAGCATGGCTTCTTTGGTGAAACGTTAAGAATTTTGTTCTGAATTTAGCTGAAATATTTCCCCGGGGCCTCGGGTCCGATGCGTGTAAGCCTCTTTAAACTTAACCTCTTTATTACTGTATAGATTACCCATCCAGTCGAGTTTTACAGGAAGACAGTATTTTTTACCTACAACTGGACTTACTATACAATTTATTAAAGCTGAAGACGTTGTAATATTTAATGATTCCGCCTGTGTTCTCAGGAGATCAACTGAAGGCTCGGCAAGGTTGCCGACCATAATGAGTAACAAGTCCAGTAATAGATTTTAAATGTCATTCATGCAACCTCCATGTGTTCACACCTATGGCACAAGCGGGTGTCAGTGGGAATTTGAAAAGTTAAAGAGCTGGCCTGCTTTGACAAATTGAAACTCCTAACACCCCATTTCCATAGATTAGATCGACCTACTTTAGATCGACCTAATTCCCTGGGGGTTCACGCTAAATAGCTGTCAGCCGGGCGGACACGAAAGTTAATTACCCTCTTACAGCTTGTAGTAGGCGGGATGGACATTTAAGTCGGATTATCTGAAAGTAATCTAGTGAGACTCCCTGCGGGGATAGATCGATCTAAAATCTATGGGAATAGAGCCTAAGACTACTGCAAGGTCAAGTCCTCTGTGGGTTCCCGTTGACCATAAATGACGATTACGCGTTTTTGGTGGGTCTTATGAAAAAAGAAAACAGCAACCTACAGTGGGAGAAACTTTATTTCATTTCATACACTTTATATCTGCCTCGTTATTATTGTAGGTAAATGAAATGTGTGCATTTGTCCCCTTTTTGGCTGCGAAACGTGGGCAGAACCCAGGGATGATAAGTTTGTTTCTCAATTTCTCATTGAGTAAAAAAATATAACCTGAAAGGTATTGTATTGCATTCGCCTTAGAATCTTATACACTGGGCATTTTTTGTTTTATGTAAAATGCAAAGAAAAATTGTTTATTTTAATAACCCTATTTGGATAGTTAGGAAACGGGAATGTTTATTTTTTTTCAAGTAGATAAAGTGATGAATAGAGTGCCCCGTTAACGAAATGAAATCACATGTAAGGAGTGTGGTTGTATTTCTTAGGCTAGGCTATACTGTAACAATACGAGATTGTATTTACAAAGTATGGCTGTTCCAGTTTGTCTAGAGATCTCAATGATGAAGAATACAATGAAGTTTAAGAGTCCTTGTGCTCGCTGAATAATACGCACTTTGTGTATCTCATTAAGGTACCATTAAGATATGGTTTGAAACATTGGCTGAACATTTGTATTGATGAAATATATTTTACGATCAAAGTACTTGCTACTTTTTTCCATTCCATTGCATTACACTCGTGCTCAATAGGACATTATACTGTGGACCTCGATCTGTACCTTGTACGAACCGAATTGGGTTAAAGTACAAACTATTTTTAAGCGTGTTCACCCTTTGCAACGTCCCAGCTTGGGTACAACGTGGGGTATTATCTCGAAAAGTATACCAAATAAAGTGTATATTGTTGATTTTCTTCATTGAAAGTGTCCGTTCTCTTGCCTCGATTTTCTTATGTCAGTTTACCCAATTGACCAGACCGTTGCGTTTCTTCGATAGATGACGGCACGGGTTTTAAGAATTGTAGGGAACCAAATCCGTCTGGCACAGCAACGCCGGTGCCCTTACAATGTATATCGCTGAATCTAGATAAGTTAGCTGAACAGTGATAGAAATAAATAATAGCATATTGATTTTTTTAAAAATGGGCCCTAGTTTTGTGAAGAACCACTGAAAATGTCGATCTTAAGTCGTTCTTTTACGAAAATCGCCAAGTGCCGTTAAATTAATTGGTTTGGCAGTGGAAATATCTATGTGATCAATACGATTACCGTCCCCGTTTTCAACATGATACACTTCTGGCAGACTCATTATGTAAAGAACACGATATCCACCGACAAAATTTATTCCTTGACATTTTACAGAAGAATAAAAGGGAACTAAGCATAAAATTTAGACTGGCCTTTTCGACCGATAGTTTAGTCTGTGCTAAAATTTCTAATAGTCTTTAAGACCCTATATAACCAGCATAGACTGCAGACCGCTCAAGAATAATTTTTTAATGAAATTCTGACCTTTCTTCCTCCTTAATGACTGTCTATACTTAGAATTCTATCAAAGTTTATCAAGTCTTAGAAATGTCTTTCTATATATATATATATATATATATATATATATATATATATATATATATATATATATATAATCGGGATATTGTAACTCTGTTGACCACATTATCGTCTTATCAGATAAGACTTTGTGACGTCACGTCACGTGTGCATTAGCACCACCGCAGATTCTGTATGTCGCAGCAACACCCGACAGGTGCGCGGATCCAAATCCAATATGGCCAACCCCAATACCATATGGGAACGCGTATCCAGCCCCATTCCGTTTTACAGCGCGAGCACATGTATCTATACACCCCAGCATCATAAATCCTGGCTTTGCATTCGTATGGCCTGAAAAAAACCAAAAGATGAATTTCTATGTAATGCAAAAATTGAAATAACTATAGGTACAACTTGCATTCTAGCAAGGAGTTATAACATCTGTTATAACTCCTTGATTCTAGTAACCTGTATTGAATTTAGTTACATTAGACTGTTGTTCTTAATTGACGCCTCACTTCGTCCGTGAACAGACCAACAGTTGGTTTGTTTCTATCTTTTAGTCACTGATTGATGGATCAACCCATTGTTCGGTAATGTGGTCGATGGCCTGATTATGAATATCAAATAGATACCCCACGGTTCAAAATACATTTCCTTGTCGTGACACTACAGGTATGAAGGCCAGTTGTAAGTAGCACTAATAAAAACACCTAAAAACACTAATTAAATTAACATATCCTTTCACCCCTCATTTGCATAAGAAGATGCCAAATTTTCAAAATTCTATGGACATCGTTTGTAGTCCCATGACTACAAATAAATATAGAATACAACAAATATTAATACAGAAATAAACATACTTGTGGAGAAAACTACATTGCCTAGATATCGGACTTATCATTCTATGGGAAATGGACGTGCGTCTCAAAGCTTCCGTGACCTTGGGAATGCAGGTATCCAAATGGGATATGATAATGATGGAAAGGGCACCTTTTGCTTAATTTTGAATTTTGAGTAACATTTAGACACCTTTACTTCCACATTCAGCATCCCTCTGTATAGATTAGGTCTACACAGCTATGTTGACTGTGGAGGGTTTGTAACCAGCGGTCTCTGAAACTAGAGGTACATATAAGATGATAACTTCCTTCATCTTTTTTTCAATTGAAATAGAAAGAATATATTTCTCTCCTTTCTTAACTAAGATATGAAAAAAGATATGAAGATGAATGTATTCGATAAGGAAAATATTCCAGTGTGAACTTACAGGCAATAATACCAGTGATGCCAGTGCCACCCCCACCAGGGGGAGTTCAAGACAGGCCACCAAGTCCTTCCCCAGTACACCCACCACGGCCGGATCCAGTAGAACCAATAGGGGCATGAATAGGGGCTGAAAAAGAGAAAAGAAATGAATTGTTTATAAATCTAAAACGTATCATAATGCAGTCAATCTACAACAAATTTTGCAGCCGACGAAAAACGTGTTTAGTACGCATTTTGTGACCAGTTTTTTTTTCTTAGTCACCTAAATGGTTTGAAGAACAGCCGTAGAGAAATAGAGATAGGGTTTAGACAGGGTTTTTATTTTAACATTTTATTTGTACTAAAATAAATACTTAAAGTGTCCATACACATCGCTAACAATAAATGATAGTTTACAATTCCCAACACTATTGGTCTAGGAGTGAATAGCACAAATTGCAAAAAATAAAGAAAAAACAATCCCAACAGAGTCGACGCCAGTGTATTTATAATTCCTTCACTACCTCACCACTATTTCTCCATAAACATATCGCACGTATTATTTAAAACGACTGAGTCAATCAAAAAGCGAACTTTATCTTTAGAAAGTGTCATTTTTTTGTTGCAAGAACAGGGAGGCAGAGGAGACAAGTTCCATCAACACTGGATAGCGCTTATTCTTTATATATTCTTTACATATATATATATATATATATATATATATATATATATATATATATATGACCAATAAATACATTTTGTTCACTGTACAATGAGGGTAAAACCATATTCAACCACTGTCTAGCAATATAAGCGATAAACAGAAACACCCAGCGTTTTCAAAACAGTATATTCAAAGGACAACTGATCAAAGAATATCAATTTTACCCAAAGGATAGCTTCATCTAGTCTATATATATATATATAATGGAGCAGCACACGTAAACTATACCCTATAGGCAGCCCTCGTTTCTTGCGCACGGCTAGGGACAACTCAGGAACACCGTCGTCCGGATGTGAATCACTGCCTCTTGGTTGCATGGGGTCATCGATTATCAACTTCGCGTCCCTGTTAAAATAAAATTCATCAAACATCTAAACAGCAAAATACAAAAAATATCTAAACAGCAAAAAAAAAAAAAAAAAAAAAGAAAGAAATATGACACAGAAATCATAATTGAATTGGTAATAATGAGATTTGGCACCAAAACGTTAGCGAGGAGAAGAACGCCTTCTTGGTCACTACCAACTACTAGTAGGTTAATATGAAGTTAATCCAGATGATAACAAAGGAATTTATTTTCAAATAAGAAAACATAAGTAAATCAATTAATCATATTGTTTATGAAATCGACACTCTAATTTTGATAAACTGTCATCCTGATTGTGCAGAAAAAGACCCATTTAATCCGACAGTGCATTTTGCGCTTTAGTGTCCTTGTCTATATACCCGGGTATTTTTAATGCCTTTCCTACGGGTTTTAAAATACTGCGAGACTAGCTAGCACAGTGGCAGATTTAGAGGGGGGGTGGGGGGGTGGGTCCTGAGCCCTTCTACGATTTCTGAAAAAAAAATCACACCAATGGTCCCCGCTTGAAAATGATAATTTTGACTAGCTGAATCATAGTTCTTAACTTTACCAAATGGCACCGTTCGTCCTCTAACCCCAAGCCAAGGGGGGGAGGATCGGCTTCGTATCCGCGCCCCCCCCCCCTTTTAATTAATCCTGGATCCACCCCTGTAGCATGTTTTTTTGACAAACCTTTTGGACCCCCAACCCCACGCCGTAATGCAATAACTACAAAATGATTTGTTTTTAGCTCATGTAAACAAATATCAAATTTAAAATAAAACAAACTTAACATTAGGCAGTAGACTGAATACTGAAAAAAACGCATGTTGCAAGAAAATTAAGATACATTAAATATGAATAGTGTTCAGAGTTAATAAAAATCATTCATTTAATAAAATAGTCAATCAAAATAATCAAACATGAAGCCTGTACTCAGTGTTCTCTAGACAAAGAAGACAGGAAAGTGGCACACTCACCGTGGGTAAGGCTTGCCATCCGGTGACGTCAATGGATTGGTTGAAAATCCGGTCACAACTTCGGATCCGTCGTCCAGCGTGTCATGCAACACAGCGCCATCTGGATCGTCGGGAAGACTTCCTCCGCTGGGAATGACCTGGACAGCCAGGCCGAATAGCATCAGCCACGCCAAGTACTTCTCCATGGCGATTTTCTGATGAACTAAATAATAATAATAATAATAATAAATGTAATAATAATATTAATAATGATAATAGTAATAAAATAACCCAAAAATATTTTTACATTTTCTGACTATGTATTAGTTATTACTTATATTTACATGTAGCCCATAACTAATACATATTGTAAGAAGGTGATGGAATGGTTGTCGCTCAAGTACCAGTTTTAATCCTGTTTTCAGTTTACCGTTTTTGTAGTCAAAGAAAGGATCTGTGTGCTAATTTATTGGACAACTGAATATTAAGTGCTTAAGTCTAGATTTACATTTTTTTTTTTTTTTTTTTTTTTTTTTTTTTTGCCAATGGGTTTGACGGTTGAAAAGTAATCATCCGGAGCAACTAGCGTTTTTGAGCACCCATATAGGAATACACATAACTTTGAATTTATACAAATGGATTACACTGAGTTTTTAACATTTTGACTTTTGCTGTGCCTCCTCAAATGGCCAACAAAACCTATCTCCATCACAATTTTGACAGGTCCGATAATCTAGGCCTGCGTTGCTGTACAATCACCACATGTTTACTGATCAATGCTCGTTTGGAACCTGTGCCATGCCATCTACGGTATTGCTGTGGCCTAATTTGCCAAAAAATTTAGCTTGACAAAATCCTAGAGAGACCACGGAGGTCGTTAGTTGGGGAAGTCAGACAGTACTGTATTTTCTAAAATGATTACATCTAAACAAGTTAAAAAGTTACTGCCCTAAAAAGCGAACACAAGTTTTGTTTTAAACGTGATGAAAACGCAAAATAAACCACGTCTTACCTTTGCCGAAAACGTTGCCTTCAAAATTCACTGCGGCTGTTTATCCCCACGTCTGAAAACGACGTATTTATATATAATGTAACCTATTAGAAATTATAATGGTGGTACTCTGTCAGCTCCCTTATTTACAAACTTGGCAACTTCTCAACATGCACTGAATAATTTTAACATTTAAAATTAAAAAAAAAAGAAAAAGATAGTAATGAATATTAATGATGACTATCATAGGCCTGGCGACAGTTAAATCAATACTGTGGTTGTTATTATTGAATAGCTTGTCATCAAATTAACCCGGTTGCTCGTATTACATGTAGTTGTGTTTGTTCATTTGTAAGTGCAATATTTCATGTTGCTTTGAGATATGCCAGATCTCTTCATTAATACACCCCTTTCAGTCTTTTAAATGTGCATGGTGCTCGTCTTGTTAGGACGTGCAATCTCACACTGATTTATTATCATGTTTACCGCCTGTAGTATTCTCAAAGGTCGTGTTCGCGTATGAATGGTACGGGATAATTGGTATGCAGCAGAAAGGCATTACCACGTGACTGCACCCATCTGCTTTCCAATATCAGTACCAAGCTGCTCGGTTTATGGAGTAAAGATAGGTGTTCGTCACTTAAGGTTGTTCCATTTCAACGAGCTGGGCATAGTTGTGGTCATTTTAGCATTTGTTGTGGTCATTTTAGCAAGTGCGCCCTTGTAGTAAAGGTCAATTGGCATTTCACCTTAACAAATGTACGCACGTACCGCATGTACCACTTTTCAACAGCAATCTTTGAAATTACCTTAACAGAGTGAAATTAAAATTCGCGCCCTGTCTCTTTGGTTCCATATTGGTTAGGTTGAATTCCATGTGAATATATTCCGGGGATATATGTATGAATGTGTTCAAGCTTAGTTCACAGAAAATCATTTTAACAAATGGCTTCCAACGTATGAAATTTCAAATATAAACAGTATAAATATTACATTAAAATAAGTCATACGCACCAACCTGGACACACACATACACACACACACACACACACACACACACACACATTACTGTCATTGTAAAAGAGGCACCTGTAAACCCTGTTTCAACTAACTTTTCTACATGTGACTATGTAAATGTTATCTATATTATATCCTATACCAATGGTGAAAAATCATTTCTCTATATATTATTTCCGTTGTTTAAACTCTGTATAATTGTGTATTGTCTACCCATTCTATAGAACATCTGTTTTTCATTACTATTATAGATTTGTAATTATTTCAAAATAAATTTTAGAGGGGATTACCATTTTTAAATTTCCTCCTTTACGTGTAAAAATGGCTTCCATATTGGTACAAAACTGCTCAGTTTATGAATTAATGATAGGTGTTTTAAATTTAAAATTACTGTGTCATGATGAAATGGGCGTAGTTGTTTTCGACAAGGAAGTACTTAGCAAAACAGTTATTTTACTGACACTTATGTTCGTTTTATGTTTTAATTTTAATAGTTTATTCACGCAGTATATTATATCAGTTTTGCGTAATGGGATCGAATTCCCAGGCACCACTTGGCTAGAAAACATTCACATAAACTTTACTGTCACTGTCAGTACGCGGTAATCCTTATAAAACTTTGCCTTACGCAGAGAAACCAATATGCAATGCAATGGTCATTATGATCATCAAAATCATGCGCCCTGTTTCTTAGCGTTGGCGATTAACCCCCTCCACGTCTCTCTGGCTTTGGCAGTTCCCAGTTTGTTACATTAGCATGCCCCATCATTGGTGTTACGTAAATTTAGGTGAAGTAATGTTACGAAGTAAACCTCTCTAACTATCTCATCTTTTAGATCACAAATCCTGAGTTATAAAAAATGTGAAAAAGGCAATATATATAAACTTGAGACAGTGGTAATTAGTCCTTTTAAGCAACCCTGTGTTTCAGAGTTAAAAAGAAACTAGCCTATATGCTGTCAGCATGCCTTTATCGTTTCTAATAAACTCTGAACCTACGGGCACCAAGCTACAAGATAAACAAAAAGCGTATATCAGTGGCGTATTAAGACTATTTAGAGGGGGGGGGGGGAGTCAGGGAGGTCCTGACCCGCCCCTCGATTTCCGAAAAAACCACACCAATGGTCCCCTCTTGAAATTAGAATACTGACTAGCTGAACTAGCTCTTAACCGTACCGTAGGGCACCGTTCGCCCTCTAAATTATCAAAAAATTATCGGAGCCCTTCAGCGGGCGCCAAAACGACACGCAAGGGGGCTGGGGGGGGGGGTGGCTTCGCATCTGAGGCCTGTCATTCCTAAAAAAAAAACAGACCCCCTTCAAATAATCCTGGATCCGCCCCTGCATTTTATTAAATAACTTCACTAAATTATTTCACCCAAAAATAATTCACGTATATCTTAAGGTCTGTATGCATCTCATAATATTAACAAATTTACGCATCTTACCCACCCATCCATGTTCTATGCAATTTTTAAAATGATGTAAACAGAGTGCAGTTAAAATTCATGACGTTTCTCTTTGGTTGAATTGCTTGTGAAATTATTTCAACTGGGGCGTCTAGACGTGTGATCTGCAGGTTAGTTTATTCAGTAAAAAAAAAAGGCGAGGTGCCTCCTTTACAATGACAGTAAATTACAAACACTGGCATCCGTCATCCTTCATACTGACATTCTTCCTGGGATGTTTTTATTTATAAAACACTTAGTATGCTAGAGACGGCACACGTTGGCACAGGAATAAATATGCCCACCGCACCCCTCGGTAGTAGTAATATATGGACGCAAGGGTCATAAAAATGTGGGGGGGGGGGGGTAACCAGAGTGAAGCAGATGTAATTAACAGCCGAAATTATCAAAAACAATACAATGCAAATTGATTGAAAAATGATCACAGTATATATAATGCTATAAATCAACACATTCTCGTCTAATACGCGGTGATTCGCCTCAGGATTGACTCCTCCCCCCCCCCCCCCCCCCCCCCCCCCCCCCCCCCCCCCCCCNTTCGGACCAATGAACCCTTGATTAAAAAATCGATGAAAATGTTACCACTTTTCGAACCAATGAACCTTCGGACCAATGAACCTTCGGACTATCGAGACGCCCCCTTCAATTTTATAATACCTATACATTTTTAGCTTTGAATGATTGACCAGTGGTTGATAACTATTGTGTGTGTGTGTGTGTGTGTGTGTGTGTGTGAGAGAGAGAGAGAGAGAGAGAGAGAGAGAGAGAGTGTGTAAAAGAACCTGTAAACAACAACAACAACAACAAATGTTTCAGCGTGCAACTAATCGTTTATTGCAATATGAACTTGCAGTTATTGAGGAGTTTTAATGCTGACAACATACGTGTAGGACAATAAAGCCTAAAGCTTTGTTCTCACTTTTAGTATCCAGTCATATAGCAAAATCATAACGGTATAACATTTAATCAAAATTAACGCTACATAAATTTCGCTGAAGCAATATCGAGAAGAGTAAGAGGTTGCAATAATAAATTTATAAGAGTATACCTCTGATTTGTCTTGGAAAATGCTAGTTTATCCTTAAATGTGGAACAAGATACTATGCTACCATAAATGTCCATATGGCACAGCATTGCGTTTAAGCGGGGAATCTTGAATAAATATGCCGTCGGGGCTGGAATTGACTCGATGCGCCATCTATCCATTATTTTACCAACACTGCCAGAAATATCGCTGAAAGTTGCAACAGCAGCCGACAGGTGCGCGGATCCACACCCACCTGACGTGCCACGTGTACCAGAGCGGGACTCGCAGCCAGCCCCATTCCGTGGTGCAGCGCGAGCAAAAACGGACATATCTACCGTTAACCCAAGTGTAGTTTGACTTACAAATATTTCTGAAAGTAAAAAAGTAATTATAAGAAAATAAACCATTAGGCCTAGCTTTGAGTCAAACAAACATTCCGTTTATTTTTTCTAGGTACTGTTATTTCACTATTAAAATGACAATTAATAATCCTTACAACGAGGGCCATTATCCAATTCAAAGCCTTTTAATTTACACAACCATCGCATTTCGGCACCCGCTTCAACTTACGACGTAGGCAGGCAGTAGATCCAATAATGCCAATGCCATCCCCACCAGGGGGAGTTCAAGACAGGCCACCATCCAGAATTCCAGTAGATCCACCACGGCTGGACCCAGTTGTGCCAAGTTCTGCATTGACTGAAAAAACCCAATCGGTCAAACAATTAATATATTGTTTCTCACATACATATCATTTTATCATTTTACTACTAACTAATCTTGTTTTAAGATATATGAAAGTCAACATCCTGATTTTTACAGAAATTGGTACGGTGCCATGGCAGTAAGTATT